GTCACTCCCAGTGAAAAGCATCTTCAGCTCTGCCACCTCCAGCTTGTCCTCCTGTCTTTTGTCCGCTCCACGGTTTCCAAATAATAAACCATAGCAGGTCTCGCTGCTATCATTCTGTCACAAATCACCCCGACACTCATCTCCACCCACTCCACCATGCCTGCACTCTCTTTCTCATCTCTTGTGCACTGCCCATTGCTTTGGATGGTTGAGCCCTGGTATTTAAACTCATGTACTCTCACCATCTCTACTCCTTGCACCTTCAGTGTTTTCAGCTGGGAGATTCTGAGGGGAGACCAGAAGTCTTTGGAGATATTAAATATATATTTCATCTACCCTGGAGCATCTCGGGATTTTCCAGGAGTAACTGGAAAACAGTGATGTTAGGAACGTTTAGCCTAATACTGATCCAATTCTGTTTCAGATAAGTGCAAAAAAATGGACGGATGCTGGTTTACACATATTTGTCATTACTCACAAATACGTGTGGTGATGTGCCAACTGATGTTTATACTGCAATAAGAATCACCAATCACTATCAAAACTCCCGCCTTTGTAAGAAAAAAGAAAAAGTGAAGAAAAAGTGCTGAGACAGCACCAAATCAGGTGAACGTAGTTTTGCGTCTATATTTTCTCTGCATTTCATGTCACAATCGTCTTGGAGTCTACTTCTTTGAGCACTCCTCGGCCTGAGTTGAGACAAGTGGCCAGTAGCAAAGATTAAGTGTAAAGAGAAACTGTTAGACTGAGCCAATGCTCGTAGCAGGAAATAGCCTTATCATGACAGGGAGGGAAAGAGAAGGAGGAAGTGAAGTCCTCTGGCCCATGTGAGCTGCAGTCCAACATACACACACGTATACAAGCATAACCACGCAGGATAGGAAAAGCAGCAGATGGCATGGGGATTATTTCCCCTCTATCCCCACCCCCGCCTCCACAGATTGGCCGCTGAAGCTTTGCTTGCATCCCTGTCATTTCACTACAGTGTGTGCCGGTGTACTGGCTGACCTGGTCTGCCCTCACCTTTGCCCTCATCTGGTGGCCTACAAAATGGTTTTAGTTATCACCTTGAATGGATGAATCCAAACCAGGCCATTTAAAAAAACAAAAAACATAAATAAAATCAGCACAAGCTCCAGTTTTTGTGCCGATCTGCTGAGACTGAATGCCACTCTGCTTTCTCTAAATGCCTGACAGTCGACCTGCACGTATTTATCTTCTATTACTGCCGGATAATTTCCTCTAATGCAATTTCTTCACAGTAACCTTACTCAACACTGAGCAAATTATGCAATGCCATCAGTGTATGCATTTATTCCACTGATAATTGCTATCCAGAAATAGCTAGGAGTGGGTACTGACTGAGCTGTCAGAAGCTGTGTCCTCCCATCCTGCTTTCGTTTCTGCAGCCATTCACTTCCTGCAGAGATCTGCAGGCCACCATGCAGGTTCTGAGGGCGCTCAACACAACCAGGAATGAGGAAATGAGCCTCGGAAAAGTATCACAGCTTCCAAGAAAGAATGCCACTCGTCAGGTTTTATATCAGGCACTTCCTTTAAGAGATGGAAAGACTGGCTTCTCTGATAGCATGTCAGGTACATCATAGACAAGAAAACTGCCAAAGAACACATTTACCACAGGCAGAGAGAGCATTTCCCAGCTCATCACACAGAGATACATCTCTTGTCCCTGAACAGCCTGAAGACATCATAAGAACACAGTTGGTTATCTGTTATCTGCTGGTGTTGTCAGCGTCTTAAAGAAGAAAGGCTCTTTTTTTTAGTCCAATATAATCACTTTAAACTACACCAAGCAGTTTTTAAACCATAGAAACAGGGAAGAAACATAAGGATTGTGGAAATTTTAAAGCAGCTAAATTTACTTTTATGCAGAAATTACCTAAAAGCAGAGTAAAGAGCACACATTACAGGAGGTGGGGTCATGCACGTCCAAGGACTGCTCTTTGACAGCGTGAATCTTAATACTATAGACTGTTTGTTTTTGTTCGCTGCTCGTTCCTGTGAGGTTATTTCTCCTTATTTGCCTGTAGCTCATGTTTCTCACCTTACTGTCTGCATATGCAAGGAGATACTAGGTAGAGTTCCAAGTCTATTATTAGCGTTACAAAGAAAGGCCACCAAGCTTGACCCCTCGAGACCTTTCCATTAAAAAGGGAGATTATCTCAGGAAGAATTCAGGTGACATTATAAAGCACTGAATCTGCAAAGAAACAATGATGGGCTGGACAAGTTAACAAAACATTAGCTTTTCACATGGGAAACTGTGGTTTACTTCCTATTTCTGACAGTGTTGTTGTTTACTATTAAACCATTCTAGTCTGGCATCTAAAAATATATTCTTTATAAAAGATTTGATGTGTCTGTGAAAGTCAGATGATGGAATACTTCAGACTTTTTAAAAAAGGAAAAGAAATACTGTTTAAAGGACAGTCAGATGACATATTATGTAGATTCACTTGGGAGAAACGTTGAGAATCACACATCCACTCATATTTATAAGATGCATTTACTTCAGTCACCAGCTTCGATGAGTGTTTGAGTCCATCCTAAGTCAGACCTGCAATAACTGATATTTATGGCCTCATCTGGGCAGCAGAAACAAGTTGCAAGCACTCACAAATCTGCACTTTATAAAGATGATGTAGTGAACATTTCTGGCGTATATGTCCAGATGTTGTGGGACAATGTCATGACTGATTTGAATCCATATTTCTGTCCTTCTGAGTGAAACAGCAAAGCTTAAAAAGCTGAGTCCAGGGTTCACGCTAACCTGAACAAGTAACAACTTTTATGTGAGCATGAAGCACACTTTCTCAATCCCAGGGCAAGCTATGAAACAAAATTAGATTATTTTATAATTCCACTTGTCTGAGCCCACTGCGACCCAGGTGTGCTTCACTCCCTCCATCTCCAGCCTCACCCTCATCTCATCACTCTGTAATAGGAGTTGGGTGGAGGTGGTGGTGGCCTTTCATCCTCAGGCAGCACTCGCACCCAAAGATGAGAAATGGTCAGAAATGATCAGTGAGAAACAATACACCAGGGGCTGAGAGCTGGAGATAGCCAGACAATAGTTTGATGGTGTGAAAAATCAATCAGCATGTCTGCGAGAGAAGAGCAATTTGTGATCTGGGAAGGAGCCAAAAATGTTAATAAACCGTCGGTGAGGGGAAGCGCCGGCTTTTTAACCTTTAATGAATCAAACTTTGTCAGACCCGATACACATGCAGGTTTTCAACAAAAACAAAAAAAAAAAATCCAAAATCATTTCTTATTCTTTTACTTAGACATTAAAATCTCACATCGCTCATCAGCTTTAGTTGAACAACTGCAGATCAAGTGACTTGCTTCAGGGCAACTCGGGGGGGCAGTTCACGTGGAAAGAGAACGCTGAACAATGAAGAAGGAAGTGCACATTTTATTAATAATGTCCCTGCAGAGATCTATAACCTGCTACCTTAAAGGGGTCAGTCAGCTTAAGGATAAAGACCTTAAAGTACCAAATGTCAGCAAATACATAAAATGTGTTCTTGCCACAGCAAATTACAAAGAAATAGCCACTGATTAATCTATTTTCTTCCTCTTACCCTATTGAAGATGTGCAGTCTTAACGGTCAGGTGAGAGTATACAGTCCTAAGTTATGTTATTATGTTATGAATCCAGTTTTAAACTATTTTAACATGTAATATTGACAGTTTTCAGGTTCATGTCATTTAAGAGTATAAGTGACCCAAATGTAGGCTGCTAAGAATCCACCTGAAAGAATCAGAAAACCGAGCTTTTACTGATGTAGCTTCAGATCACAAATCAAGTCTGAAACCAGCATGGAGACACGGCATCCAGCCTTGTTTGCACTGTAACCGAGGATATGCACAGGGAAATGGAAACATAAAGGTAAGAAGACACAGCTGAACTCAAACTACTGAGACATGAGGCACCTGTAGTAAAACTAAGGTGAAGAAAAGAGACTGACAAAATCAAACAGGAAGTAGCCAACTAGACACAGTGACAAGCCACTGACACTCAACTGAACACCGAGAAACACGGTGGAGGCTACGATCACCAAAAACACCAAGGACCAAATATAATAGAACTCAAAGACTACTTGACCTATAATGATAATTCTAAACAGGACTTGGAACGCTAAAATAATCATAGAATCTCGGATAAATGGAAATCCAAATTAAAGTTCAAGAACAATAATGAAAAGCTAAAAAAACAAAACAAAAAACCCCCAATAATCATAAAAATATGCCAACGAAATGGGTAAAAATCAGGGCCAGAAGACCTTCTATCAGAATCAAGCATATGTTACTATAACAGGAAGAAAACAAACTTCAATCATTTTGTGAGCATTTTTTCATTCAGAAAAACGAGTCTATGATTTTTAATAGTTTCAGAAATAAATGTCCCTCTTATGTTTGGGTATAGCCTAACAGACTAAATCAATCCTCCTTTAGATACAAAGCTAATACCTTAACAGGTGAAAACTGAGAGTGCTCTTTGGTGAGCATTGGCATTGAGCACTGATTACTATGGCTCGATTTAACCAAAGCGTAACTTTTCAGACTCGCAATATCGGACCATAGAATAGCAACAAAACATTAATGCGCACATATCCATCGGTAATGACCAAACGCTCTCACTTAACTGTGATTTTCCTTTTTTAAAGTCAGCATCCAGCCTGAGTGTTACACTAAAGGTCACTGGAGGCAAATGAGGTTTAAATTCACCTTTCAGGGAAACACTTAAAGTTTATGTTATGCTCTGTATCTTCACAACTGGATAGTTTCAGAATAATGTTACAGTATTGCCCTCAAATATTCTGCCTTCCTTTTTTCTTTCATCTAAGTTTTTGTGTTTTTATATATAAAATATTTTCCGTGAGAACTTCGCCCGTTTAAGAAACCCTCACACGAGCAGATCCACGAGTTCTCCTGTTGAAACGAGAACCTGTAGCTGTGAAGTGAGAGCATACCTCTAACGCACAGCAGAGACATCGCAGCGGGATTTTGTGCAACAGTTCCTCCGACCAGCCTTCAGTGAGTTTGCAGCCCAGGTGCCTGTTGCACAGAAGTCCTTTAGACTGCTCCTAAATGTCGCTCAGTTTCCGCTTCATCGCGCCGCGCGGTGAGGAAAGGGACAGATGTCGGGCAGGTGGACAATCCAGGAGGTCCTTAGGGTTTAAAGGGATGACTGTCACTGGCAGAAAACGAGTGCCTACCGGCTGAAATCCGGTAGAGCGGGGCGGCACTTGTGCTGCGTTCAAATGTCACAGGCAAAGTAGGAATCTGGGCTATCAGCTCGAGCATACAATTGTCCTCCTGTGGTTCATAACACTTTACGCAACATTTGAAATGTTGAATTCAGCTTGACATGCCCAAACCCTAGTTTCCTGCTTCACTGACAAAAAGAAGGGAAAAACAGTACAGTATTAAGTGATGCCAAAAGAAAACTTGGCAACACTTTATGATATGACCGCGACTAAACACGTAATTCCTTTGTAATTAAATTGAACTTCATTCTATTGTATTTAAAATTACAAAGTAATTATGTTTACCTACTAATACTTAAGGGCACGTACGCTAAAATAAAGGGTTAACGAGTAAAGTTTTTACAACAAACAAAGAATAATTATATATTTCAGTAAAGTAATTAAAGAAGTCTGTAAGGATTTTAATTGATGCGTAAGTCATTTTTGGCAGTGCAGAAGTCGTTTTAAATATTGCACAATTTGAGGTATTTTACAGAAGAGGAGAAACAAATTATACAGTAAGTAATTTCAAGTACAGCATGATTTTGAACATCCATTCTGCTCATTAACATAATGAATATTAAATGCAAATGTAAAAAAGGCAAGATTTATTTCTACTCAATAATATGGTGTGGTGTAAGATGGTTTTTTCTTTTCTTTTTCTTCAAAATTACCTTACAATATAATTTCGTTGTTTCCTAACCTAACAGGGTCCTGGGTCTGAGCGACCCAGGATCCCTGAGCAGTTATGAATTATATTATTATTATCATTATTATATGTATTTTGGTGTTGCTTCCCTTCTCTGTGCTTGTGTGTGTGTATATATGTGTGTGTGTGGCTGAGCACCTGTTTATAGGCGGCATCAGGCCTGGAGGGTGTGGTCCTGCAAGGGGACTGGCCACACCCGAAGCCACACACCTGCTGCTGATCAGGCCTCGTCGGGGGAGCTACTTAAGAGAGTCTTGGAGCTCCCACCGACGCGGGATCATTGCATGAGACTCCACGTTAGTCACCCTGTCTAAGCGAAGTCAGAAAGTGTATGCCTGCCATTCTGAGTGTCCTGACAGCTGCCGTTATTGTTTCCCGCAGGAAGAGCGTGGAAGGCACGGAGAGCAGCGAGCACCGGGGGGTGCTGACACGGGAGCAGAGAGCACACGGACTATTCACGGGAGACACGACACGGGAGTCTGGGAGAATACGGGGATTTATTGTTACATTGTTTTCACTCTGTAAATAAACACTGTTTGTACATAGAGCACCGCGCCTGGGTCCTCCTTCCCCACTCCTTCCACGGTGTGCCATGCCATACCGTGACATAACCTGACTTGTTACCTGCCATTCTAGTGTACCTGCCTTTAGGTATTAGTAGGTAAATACAATTGCATTGTAATCTAAAATAAAATACATTATAGGGGAATTACACCCTTGGTCACGGGCCTTATTACAAAGTGTTACTGAAAACTTTGAGAGGCTGACAGCTCTACAGAAACATGAATTAATGGCTCTCCTTCATCAAAACATTCTTAAGCGATTTCTAAGAATACCATTTGCAATATGGAACAAGCCTTGAGATTTCCCCTGATGCATTTGAGGGTTTAGAAGGAAGAACAATGGACCAAAGGAAAGAAAAATAAAACATCCCCTATTTAGGCAAACATGAGATTACGTTAATGGTAGAGGAAATTGAAGCCCTGCAACACATGCATATTCATTGAACTGCATAGCTTGTTGAAAAGGCTAAGCCTTATAGTAAAACAGAAGTGTGGCTGATAGGCATTCATGACTACAGCACCTCTACATATACATACAGTCACTGTAAAAAGAAAGTACGCAATCTTTCAGCTCTAAGGTATCAGGAGGTGATTTGGTCTTTAGCAGGTTTTAAAATTAGGTAAACTTTAGAACAACACTCAACATATTACACCACAGTGCATCTGCAAAACTGTAGATTCAATTCAATTCAATTTTATTTATATAACGCCAAATCACAACAAAGGTCACCTCAAGGCGCTTCATAGATACCAGAAGGCATCACCAGGAATCACTGGGAGGACTGAGTATTCATCAAGTGGTCAAATCAAATCAGCAAGAAAAAGACTGAAACAAGTGAGGATGTGCAGAGCATTAGGCTGTCTTTGTTATAAGTGAGGCTTCTAAATGCAGTTCAAAGCATTTGCTGAGCTGTGGATGGAGGCATTCTGCCAAAGCACCCAGTATGAAATCACTGACTAGCATCTTTTCAGTTATCATTCAGTTAGTTTAACAAATAAGATGAGTGTGCTCTGAATCACTTACATCTGGAGTCGGTTTCAGGTGCATTAAAGCTTGTGCGTTTTTGAATTTCGCCTTTGAATCATCCACACACACCAAAGTAGTACAAAATTCATTTTTGTTACTCTTCAACTATAAGATATCATCCACAGTTGCACAGCTGAAATGAGTCACTCATTCTAAAAGAATGAAAATCACAATGTTATCACAACAAAGCATCAACTTTGCACTATAAGCTACAATCATGTTATCTGAACTCTCCCCTCTGAATCCTTATGCTTGGCCCTTTTCAGTCTGGGCCCAGCACACGGGTCTGCAGGAGGGTCGAGGCTTTTAAAGAAGTCACTGCGGCCTTTGTTGCAAAAACGCATTCGTGGAAAATTGGTTGGCATGTTGTAGACTAATAGCTACAGATGCTGAGGTTCTGGTTGGTACCTGGGGACTTGGTTTTATCAGGGCTGAGACAGTCAGCATTTAGAGAACTGCAGCAAAATGTCAGTCTTTTTATTTGGGATGCAGCGTCTAATACAAAGTCCAAAAGGAGAGCAAACAGAAATCCCAAACAGCAGGTGTACACAGAAGGAAGCACAGAAAGCCCTGTGACAAAGACGGAGGGGAAGACTGGACCACTTTTACACGAGGGGGAGCAGAATCGGCTAAAGGAATGAGATGCAGGTGTGGAGAATCAAGACAGTCATCAAAGGGAAGTAAAACTCAAAGTAGTTCACCGTCAAAGTAAAACAGGAAATAACCCAAAAGATAACTACTCAACACAAAGACATGAACACACACTGAAACATACAGAAGGAACACAGGAGGGAGGAGGCTGGAAGGAAAGACAGAAACCCGACAGCAACAACACAACGAAACAGAAAACTGATCACCAGAGGTAACGCAAAGCTCAGTATTAATAATAAGGGGAGCAAACTCTGAAAATGTAATAAACACAAAACTCCTTCAACCTCATGTACAGGAATATTCAGAGAATCAAAACATAAATTCAAGATAAACAACATATCAACTGCCTTTAAGCATATCAGCAGGAATTAGGATGAAAGAGATATGAACACTTCCTAAGCCAACAGCCCAAAGGCAGTCACTCAAACGCCCCGTGGAGTGGATGTTTCAGCGTTAGTTCTTTAAAGACATGAAGCATAAGTTCAGTAAGGAAAATCTGTTCATTCATCTGCCTACTTTCTTTTCTTTACCACTTTCGCATGCTGTCCATCTCAATACTAACATCAGTGCTCTAGTCCAATCATTTTCCAGCCCACCTTCTCTGAGCTAATAAGCCTCCACTTTGCGTGGTTTAAATCTATGCCCTCTGTCATTCTCCCTTTAAGACTCATTTGTGCAACCTAGGCTTACACACACCTCAGTAAGAGCGGAGACTCCATCCTGCCATGATGGCCCATCTGATGGCCCATCTGATGGCCCATCGGAATCTAATCAGCAGATACGTTCATTTGTACGTTCAGTAAATCACGCTCAGTTCTTCCAGCTGATCTCTCCTTATTGTACTGCCTCAGTCGGCCCCGACTCTTCCCTGAGAGGTTAATAGCTTTTCTTTCAGCTCAATTCTTACTGGACAAAGTTTCTGAACAAAGCAAAATACAAACAATTCAGACTTGAATAATGAAACTTCTGCATTCTGACCTGAGACAGTCATTCTGCGTATAAATTAAAACCAAGTCCAGAATAAAATAAGAGCGATGTTTGAAAGGACATAGCAGTACACCAGATACCAACGAGCCAACTCAAATAGCATTTTACAGAAGGACACACAGCATTTACAGTTTTGCCCTTTTATTCACGTTACATATACAAACATGTTTTTTCATAATCATCTTAAATAATCCACCATAATATTTATCCTGCCATGATCCTTATGTCACATGACCTTCTCCAGCATACTGACAAATCCATTGGACAAACTCATCTCAGAGGTTTTGGATGGGCCTCATTTGTGATCTAGTCATTCTCCACTTACAGCACAACAGGAAAAAAAAAAATCTTCCAAAACAGGGATACAAGAGCCAAAGTTCCTCTGGAGACGCACATTAAGTTGAAAACTTCCTTAGCCATCTGAATTTTCAATTTTTCAAACTGGCAGGCTTTTACTGCAGAATCTATAGCAGTGGATACACTGTAGAGGTTTTACTTTTGGTCTTTAATGCTTTTGACTGCAAGTGAGTCAAATGTACAACTACAAGATTTTTCAGAGCCACATTTTTCTTGCATGTTGCTTCACAGCTGCTTGCTTGACTGCAAGCTAATGTTAAAGATCAAAGTAAATAAAATAGTGTTGATGTTATTCAGTTGTCTCTTCCCCATATTTAACGCCAAATTAGCTGCATTTAGGATTATATTTAATTATATGCTCCACTTCATGTCTTGCTTTTATTTCTTCTCTTGGCCTTGAAATTGGGTTTGCTTGAACAAAATCATGAATACTGCTTACAAGGAGGGAGGTGGGCTCCACTTAGAGAGGTCAGGTCTCTACTATGGTACTCTTGTGTTAAGTCTTCAGGGGCCACCCACTGACATTGGGGCTCAAACAGTTGTCCGTTGACTGGCGACTCACCATTGAACTAGTTGAAAATTAAACCCAAGCAGAGTTTCACAGCAGTACTCGTAATCGTCTGTGAGAACTCGAGTTTCTCCATTCATGTATTTTCTGTGTTCTACCCTCTCCTAGTTTAGCTTGTTTCAAGAAGAGGATAAGCTAAAGAGCCACACCAGTCCAAAACAACTTAGAGTTGGGAAGAATAACAGGTCTCCTTTAAATACCCAAAATCTGAGAAACAACAACAAAACAAACACCTTTTTAAAACCTTGCAGGACAGTTGCAGGGCAGACTTTTCCATTTTGTCAAGTGGCAGGGGAAAGCCACGATACCCAAAATAAAATATGCTAAGCAGTGCTCCATCCCAACATAGAGCAACCCCACCCAATACCACACTCTCCATCTTCCTTCACTGTATGGAGTCAAGACAGTCATCCTACTTGAGCAGATACACGTGTCTGTAGTAGGTGCAAGCTTGTAAAGTGCATCAGCAGTTTGGCCTCTGAGACAAGACTTCAGCACAGCATGTACATAAGTTCTCAATTCCAGGACTGAACTATAGAGATTTGCTTCACAGCAAGAAACAAATAGAAGTTTTTTATTACTATTTTTACAAAGATCATTTTAATTGGGTCCAAGTAGTTAAAGATGCATTTTCTGACATATCTGAAATGAGAAAGATAATTTAGGGTGTCGATCTTATGTTAAAAGCACAACAGTAGATTAGAAAGTAAATGCCATTCTTACCTTGAGCATCCTCATGTGTTCTAATTAAGCCTATTTCCAAGCTTGATGGTTGTCTATGGGAAAAGCCCTGCCCCTAGGATAAGGCCACGTTCTGCTTTGAGGCTGAGTCTGAAGGATATCCTGGGAGCCCTGCCTCTGGGTACGTGTCGGAAACCTGTGCTGGGAATTCTGTACTTGCCTCCAAGTCTGAGGCTTTCTCTGTGTGCCCTGACTTTGAGGCAGAGTACTGCTTTGGAAGGCCTGATCCTGTAATTCAACCTGGTATTGGTGGGCAGGACCAGGGACCGAGGCCAAACCTGATACCTGGAAGCCTGGGACGGCAACGAAGCCTGGTAGTTGGGAACCCGGTGTTGTGACCTAGGCTTGTAGTTGGGAATCTGGTAATGTGACCAAGGCCTATAGTTGGGAATCTGGTAATGTGACCAAGGTTTATAGCTGGGCATCTGATAATTTGACCGAGGCTTATAGGTGGGAACCTCAGAACGCAACCAGGACTGATAATTAGGAATCTGGAAATCTGACCAGGGCCGGTAGTTGAGAAGCTGGAGCTGAAGGTTGGACTGGTAACCTGAGGCCTGCTGAGGTTTTACCACATCTGCAGTTTCAGAGTCAGGATACAAAGCTGAAAACAGAAAATTTCAGATCGACGCCACAAGTGAAATAGTTCTTTTGTCATTTTCTACTTAAGCTGTAGTTTGAGTCAACATGCTGTCTTACATTTTACATTTGCTTGAAGCTCCCCCACACAGAGTAGCCATGGCAGCACCGCATTAGAAAAGAATACAGGTTTAAGTAACCCTGTATCACTTCAAATGGACATAGCCATTATATGGGGGCACAAAAATAGTACCATAATAGTTTCATAGCTTCATATAGTGACCTAAATGCATGCAGAAAGGCAGCTAGACCCAAAAAAACAAAAAAAATCTGCTTTCCTCCTTCGGTGGTGCAGTTGTAGGAGCGGTCCAGTGCACATAATTTATCTTCTTTTGACAGCCAGTCAAAGTTCTTGCCCTCCATCTGATTGACTGGAAACAGGTGGATTGATTGCACCTGGACCAGATTCATCATGATTCACAGGTGCTGTGGGACTTTGTTGTGAAACACTTTGAACAATATCAAAGCCACAATCTTATTTCAAAATTGCCATAAAGCAAATGACACATTCTGGTTACCATCTGGTAGCTTTGCATTTATTGTTTGAGTTATTCTATAATTAAATGCTTAGTGGTCACTATGCCAACCAGTTTGATTCACAGAATGGTTGTCTAAAGATCTGTGTTTGAAATTAATGGAGACAAGATTAAAATGAGTTTTATTATTGTTAGGTAACAATAACGCATCACTGCTGCCAATGAAATTACTGGAATCAGAGTCAAAGCAATATTGCATGTAAAGAAGCTAATTAAAAAAAACAAATATACAAAAATTAAACAAAACAAAAAAAAATTAATAAGAAATCAACTAAAGAAGATTGGCTTACTAAATGTGTTATGCTGTTAAATGATAGGATCTGGTGACACATGGCCTAAACTAGACCAAATACAATTAACTGCGCAGATGTTCGGGGAGTTCTTTGGACACTGGACTTCATAGTGTAGCATGTAAATTGCATGATTTAACACTAACATAACCAGTTGTGCTTGTAGTGACTATTGAAACAGAAACCCCTCTGGAGACTGGCGGTCTTTATTCAATGCAGTTAAGTTTTATTTATATAGCACCAAATCCCAGCAACGGGCACCTCAAGATTAAAAATACTACAGAGGAATAACACCAATGTTCAGACAACCACCTATGAGCAAGCACTTGGTGACAGTGGGAAGGAAAAACTCCCTTTTAACAGGAAGAAACCTTCAGCAGAACCAGGCTCAGGGAGGGGCGGGGCCATCTGCCACAGCTGAAGGGAGGCAGGACAAAACAATCACTAGGCTCGCCTCTTCAGCCCTCTGGCCTTTCTTGCAGGATCAACCTTTTGCTGCAGTGACTCAAGCTGCATTCACAGCTGCCTTTTTGGTGGCTTAATGTCAGTTTTCAACTGTATTTTTTAAACCTTTTAATTTACTTATATATACACACACACACACACACACACACACACGTCTGAGCATTAGTGTGACTGGAAATTATATAACTTTTAAGCTGCAGCTGTCATTACGTGTTACTTTGTTGTTACTTTAAAACCTTAAAATGTGACTGTCATTTTAAACAGGAGATATAGAAGAATTTTAACTCATTCTAATATATCATTATAGCACAAGTTATACTTCTGAGACAGCGTAAAGTCATTCCAGTTAAAAGCAACTTTCTAGAAAGCAGTTCCTTAAATGATCTATCCTGACTTTTGCCATTTAAGGGAAACTGGTTTTATAGTTTAAAAAAAAAAGAAAAAAAGAAAACTATTAAAATGTTCTAGTTCCAGCAGTATTTGTCTTTTAGTCCCAACATGTCCATGACAGTCTCTTTTTATTATATTTTTATTGGGGAAAAAAAAAAAAAAGAAAAAAAAAAAGGACTTGTTACAATAAAGTGCATTGACATTATTTAGTCAAAAAAAGAGAAAAGGAAAATAGAAAAACAAAAAGATAAAACCCTTTTTCTTAGTCCTTTTGTTTTACATTCTGATAGCAAAAAAATAAAATTAACTCATTGGCTTGACAATGTGTTACATAATGCAGCATGTTTAACTTATTTACAAAAACTACATGACAGTCAAGTTTCATGTCAGATGGTGCCACCTAATGGCAGAACATAAGCATGGACGTGTAGGAACACTGTATGCTGGATAGGAAACAGTTGATAGATTAAATGTGCTGTGAAGTTCAAAAACATGGAATGCCTCTGCTAAGGACTTGGAGGGATTGCCAAACAAAATGGAATTAGTCACAGGGCTGCAGTCTCCACATCTCAAAGCAATTTAACAAGATCCACCAAAACCACGATTTGGACAAACAGCATTTCATCAGGCAAGGGAATTATCAGAGACATGCACATTTTCAAAGCTTATAATGAACAATCTTATTTCTACCACCTATGTTCTATCCATACCTCCTGGAGGATACTTAACTGATAAAGAGATGAATTTGGTCGCTTTGCTGGTTGTTGAAAAGGAACATGGGAGTTAAGCATTGCGAGTGCACTGCATGCAGCAGTTTTCCATGAAGGCCTGTTTTTTTTTTTTCCCCCCCCTCTTCTCTTCTTGCAGTTACCCAGTGAATTTAGATCTGCACCTGAGACTCATTTGTCTCTGGTGCACATCAAAAATCTGACTATCTAGTAACCAGACTGAATACTGCTCTAATCAGTTGGATTTTCTCTTTTAAGTTAACAGCAGTCTGGAAATAAAAAAGGTGCAAAAAAGTATTCAAGATTTCAAACATTTTCAGTTACATGCTGAAAAAAAAAAAAGTAAACTTTGGCTCTATATGCAGAACCAATGTAAAAGTCTCCATTTTGTTTAAGTGCTTTACAGTAGGGTCACCTGTAACGTCATAATCCCAGTATTGATGTGCAGTTCTGTTTCTTTGCCTGGGTTCCCCCTTTAAAAATACAAAAAAAAAAAAAATTAAAACAAAAGTCCCAGTTGAACTGGGTCACTAGCAAAATGAAGAGCAGGTCATTACGCATCACCTGTGCTTTCAGAGCAGATCTTCTTTGCCTGCCGTAGATGCTGCACATGAATGGCTTCAGTTTGAGCTAAAAATTTGAAACATGCACCACCTGCTCTCACAACTGTGAGATATTACTATAAAGTATAAATAAGCTAGCCCACACACAGACTCATCTAGAAAGATTTATTTACATTTCCCCTAAAGATCAGTTTAATTGTATCCATGCAGTTAATGATCCATCTTCTGATGTTGGCCCTGGAATGAGAAAGATTATTAGTGATGTTGAGCTTATGCAGGTTCTAAA